TATTTAAATAATTGCATAGATTAAAAGTTATTTTAATTTTTTGTTTTTCTTTCAGCTATCAATGATCAACAACATGAAAATAATGAATTAATATCAACATCTGGAAGTGTTGAACTAGTGGAATCGACTATTCCAGAACCAACAATAACAATAACTCCATATGGTGTACAAGAGAGTAAGATATTCAATTAATTTAAAGCAAAAAAAAAATTATTTTTTGTTATTTAAAAAGATACTGCTCCTTGCGGTTACTTGGTTCGTCCTATTAATCCATTGTTTCGTGCACGAAATGAAAGTGAACTATCTAAATTGGGTGCAAATAGCAAAACCAGTTCTATCCTGGATATTTCTGAAAAACAAATTACTTTCGGAGTTTGTATTGATAAAAACTATAATATGTTGTATTTTATTCTTTGTTTGTTTTGTTTTTCTTTTTCAGTGTTATGAAAAAGATTTTGGTGATAACGCTGAAATTACTTTATTGGCAAAAACACCTGAAGGTCAATACATATATAGTGTGCATTCGTTTTTAATTGTATCTCCAAATAAACAAAGGGAACTTTATAAGTCAATTATTGCTAATATTGAAACTGACCATAATGATAAACGTATCACGTAAATATAATTGATTTTCTTTTCATTAAATTTTATAATAATCAGAAAATTGTTTTTAGAATGAATTTAATTATTGCAAAAAAATGTCAAAAAGATTTTGAACTCCAAAATCAAACAAGTAACCAACTTCCTAATCGTGAAAATTCTGTATTTAAAATAAAATATTTTCCATCCGGTATGTTTTTTGTCTATTAATATTTTTCTCAATGCATATATCTGTATTTATATCAGGTGTTGAAGAAGAAATTCGCGGTTTAAAACCACGACAATTTTTTGCCAAGTATCGTTTCCATCAAATGTATCTTGCTATTCGACCTGTTCCTGTTGAATCTAATGAAGAAACATCTTGTGCTGATTCTAAATCACCTATAATATATACAAACTGTTTCATTGGAGGTATTTTTAATAAATTGATATACAATATGTTTTTGTTTTTCACTCGTAATAAAATCTTTTCTAATTTTAGCTGATTCTAATATAGAAGACTATATCAATGAAGTTAACATCAAATTGAAAATCTTTCGTGTAGGATTGATAGGAGGTCCTGGTTTTCCAGGTTATAATACTTCATGGTTTATTAAATGTTATGATGAGGTTTGTATTTAACCAAAAAACAAAAAACCAATAATTCTATCGAATCGTCTATTTTATTATAAATAGATTCCTGAAACATTTCATTGCACATTACCATCTGGTCGCAATTATACTGAAATTAAAATATCAACAAATCCAAAGTCTCCTGTGTTATATAAAATTCTTCATGGAAATACCACGCACGAGAAGATTTATATACAGAATATTTATAATAAAAATGAGTAAGTTTTCCTTGATTATATGAAGAATTGCCTTTGCTCGATTTGCAAAATCCATTTTAAATTATGAACTTTTGTACAATATGAAATTTTCTTGACATTTTCATTTTATATTTCAACTATTGTCCATTTCAAAGATAAATGTCCGTGAGCATTTTTCGAATAACTTTTGATAGGAACGAGATAGAGATCTGCAGTTTTCATCGTTGGCAAGACCAGATGAAAATGGATCGAACCATATATAGAAAGATTTTTCTCAAGGTTTTATGTAAGACTTCAAAGAAAACAGCATGCCTTTGATGATTGCAATATTAATTTATTAATTTTCAGGAGTGTGATAGAACCACCAAATGAAGAGCTACAAAAACTATGGAAATTCTCTATTCCTAACTACTATTAATAACATATTTTAGCCATTGAAGTACAATTTACCACCCAGTTTTTCAACAAAATAGTCGAAAAATCGAAGTGTTTTCTGATATTTTGATAGGAAAATTACTTTTTCAACGTAGGAGAAAAAGACAAATTTTTGAAAACGTTTGATTAAAACCTTCAGGAGAGTCGTTAGAAAAATCTTTCTATATATGGTTCGATGCATTTTCATGTGCTCTTTTCAATGGTCAAAACTCCAGGACTCTATCTCATTCCTATCAAAAGTTACTCGAAAAATACCCACGGTCATGTATCTCTGAAACGGACATTAGCAATAAGATATTTCAGCCATTGGCATGCTATTCACCACTCAGTTTTTCAACATAGAAGAAAAAACACAATTCTTCGAAAAACGTTTCGCTAAAATCTTCAGGAAAGTCGTTTTAAAAAATCTTTCTGTATGCGGTTTGATGCGTTTTCATATGCTGTTTCCAACGATGAAAATCGCAGGTATCTATTTCATTTCTGTTAAAAATTATTCGAAAAATACTGACTGTCATTTATCTCTGAAATGAATATTAGCAATAGATTTTCATTTAGATCTCGGAGTAAAGAACATAATATATTTACTTTTTACATTTTCTCAAATTAAGTATATTATGAGGAACATTTTCCTATTCATTGTACAAAATAATAAAAAAAATTTGCCTGCACGTAATGAATATTTTGTTGAAAAGATAATTTAGCTTACCTAAAGTTAACAAGTCGTCAAAACAAAACTTTTTGTTGTTTGTCATTTATTATGTTTTAAATCGTGTATTCTTATCTTTGTTTGAATATAAAGGTTATTTTTTGTTTTTATTTCATTTCTACTGAAGAAATATTTTATAATGGGACTCTTACGAATACCCTTATAAATAAATCGTCTAATAGAATGCGAGAAAGAACAAGAAAAAAAAACCGTCCTTTAAGATTTGTTTGTCATAGATACTTTTGTTATCATTTCGGGAAATAAAATAAAAATAATCTGTAGAATATTGGTTTGTTTTTAAATTCTTGCTCGATGTATATTTTATAGTATTGAATTGGAAATTTCATACCATTTGAATATTTTATATCATACATCAATCCTAAAGAAGAAAAACTTCAAGATATAATATAAAAATGAACAAATAATTCTTATAAAATATTTTTTAAACTGTTTTTATTTTAGAATAGCATTGTATATTGTCGGAGAAAATTTATTGAGACCTCAGTCATCATTGCCTTCTATTTGTTCGGGAGATTCAAGTGCAATAATCAATAACACAGGTAATAAATATTGAAGAAATATAAATAAATTCAGATAGGAATAAAATTTTTTAGAATTAACTATTAATCTAATAATAGCTATCTATAAAACTTTATCTTGTTTAATATTATTCTATTTAGATAATTATTTTGATCTGCTATTATGTTTATGTTATTTCGATGGAATCGAACAGAATATTAAAACTTATGATTATACGCATTCAAAATCTATTAGATTTATCATAAGTAAATAACTTTTATTTTTATTTATGATTAAAATTTGAAAATTGCTACTATATTGTAGAGAATGGAATGGTTATGGAAATAGTAGATTCTCCTATACAATATGAACAAAGTATGGTTTAATGTAAAACAGTAAATAAAATTTGAATAATGTAAAATCTATTTAGATTATCCTGTAACATCTAAAGAAACTGGTCAAAAACGTCGCATTGATACAAATAATAATTCTGGGTAAAAAGAAAGATAGAAAATTCAATCGTTTTCTTTTTCTCAATAATATTGTTCAAAATTTATTGATATTTTTAGGAATCATCAAAATATTAAAAAAAGGTGTTAAAATACAAGATACAATGACATTCAAATAATGACATTTGAAAAAAAAGCATAATTTTAGTTTTTTTTGTAGTTTTTTTTAATTTTCTTGTGCAATAAAGAAAACAAAAATGTTTGGTAGTCCTCGAAACAAATTAATTCATTTTTTTTTCTATTGTCGATCATAATTCATTATAGAAGTATCGATGGAAAATTCAACTGAACAGAATAATTATTATTGATATTGAAGAATAAATTATCTTAGTTACTAAACTTATAAAGAGTCAGTATAAGACTTAAGTTTTTTGTCTTTTCAATAGTATTTTAATTTTTATTATGACTCTTACCAATTGAATTAATTAATTATTGCATCTAATTGTTTTCGTTTGTGCGTGCGTGTGAGTGTAAGTTTCAATGTTGTTCTTTTTTTCAAGGACAGCCACACTCAAACTCACCCTTCTCCATCGTGTCGCGTTGCATACCATTATAAAATACTTTTCAAGCAATAGAGAAGTTCAGATACGAATAAAACATGATGGGTTGATATATTATTATAAAAGAATAGCTTAATGAACTTCTTTTTGATCGATTCCAATCGGTAGTTTACTCTATAGCATGAACATTTTTCAAAATGTTTTTGTCAGAGTAGAAGTTCTCGATTATAATTACATGTATCATGGAATAAGAAACCTATGGAACTTATCTTGACTATGATTTTTTTGATGATTATGATCCGAGTTACAAGAAATAAATTTTAGTAATAGTTAGCATTTTTAATGGCTATTCTTTTACTTATTTCATACTTGATTGAATTGACTTAATCATTACTAAAAATAAAAAATAGGCTGTGATTAGATGATGAGAACTAGGGTGACCAGATCCAAAATTCAAAAATCAGAAATGAATCAGGATGGACAGTTTCTTGCAAAATAATGGATATTATGTCAAATTGCTGGTACCCAATGATCCACTGAGTTTCCATTGATTAATTTTCCATGTATTTCACTATAAAGAAAGACAATATAATGAATATATCCTTTAGTTAATATACAAAAACTAAAAAAAGACACTTAATGTCAAACTTTTTCACTAAATTAAAACTCGTTCACGAAAAATGTACAAGAAGAAATCCAACGAAAAAAAGATATGATATAAAATCATCTTGATATTATCATTTATATTTTGCATTTTGTCGAATTTGCTTTAACAAATGTGTTTTGAGATAATAATTGTTCACAAGAACAATTACTATTCATTCGTATCTTAAGTGCAGAACTGATCAGTTCAATGTGCATACGATTAATTATAGTAATGTTTTTTAATTGTATTTAATTTCACGAACAAAGCAACAACAGGAAAAAAGATTTGAACAAAGTACTAAATCAGAAAGACGTTCAAAATTAAGAAATTTTCCTAATTTTTCAGACAATCTGGTCACCCTGATGAGAACTAATTTCATAAAAATACCATCAGCTATTGATGAACATTCTGTTACGATTATAAACCATTTAGTATAAGAAAAAGAGTATAATTAGACACTCTGTATTCTTCATATCTCTACCGTAATTACGTTTTATGTTTTTTTTCTGTTATGAGTGGATATAGGTGTGGGGGTGGGTGTGGGTGTGGGTATGGGTATGGGTGTGGGTGGGTGTGAGTGTGGGTGTTAATTCCTTCTACCCACACCCACCAACACCTACACTCACACCCAACACCCACACCCACACCTAAACCAACGCCAAAAGATGAACTTCATCCAATGATGGTTATATTGAGCGTTTGGTGGAGCATAATAGGTGTAATTCATTGGGAACCTCTTCCAGCTGGTAGCACTGTTACTGCTGATCTCCACTGCTAACAATTGGACCGAGCTGCAACAAAACTTCAGGGAAAGCAGGATAAGGTTTATCCTTTACATGGCAATGCCAGACCGCATATTGCAATGTCAACGCGTGAAAAAGTATTGGAGCTTGAATGGACTGCAGTTCCACATCCATCGTATTCTCCAGACTTAGCTCCTTCTGACTACCATTTGCTCCGTTCTCTTGCCGATCGTTTGCGTGAAAAGAAGTTCGACGACGAACACGACCTCGAAATGGACCTTGGCAACTTCTTCAGCGAAAAGTCCCAGGAGTTCTACAAACGCGGAATTCTTTCTCTTCGAGAACGTTGGCGACAAGTCATAGACAGTAATGGAGCATACATCATTGAAACTTAATTGTATTTTTGTAGCGAAAAAATAAAATGAAATTTAAAAAAGACACAAAAAGTTTGTTGCCAACCCAATACATAAAATTCGCCCATCATTATGTGAAAAAATCAGTATGAAATGGTACTTTTGCATACTTGGTCTTTCTTTTTTACGGTGCATTGTAATATTTGACATGAAAGTGTAAAATATCTATGAAAAAAAAAGTATTTTTGGTGATATTTCATCGAGTGATACATAGTAAGCGGATTAGATAGCGACTTTGATAAGAAACACCCATATTAGAAGAGGAGCCGTAGTTATGATATAGAATCTAGAAAGGCATAAGGGCCGCCAGGATCGTGATATTCGAAATCAGCGCAGTGAACTGCATATAGTCATGTATTTTCCGAGGAAAAAGCGATTCACCACTTGGGGGTACTTCCCTCGTTAGCGTTTTTCCCGTTGGATTTCACTCAAAAACCTCAAAGGATGGGGAGGATATGGTAGCAAAATCGGCCCAATTTGAAATTTGTACCTCTTTTCTCTGTTATTCGAATAGACACTGGCGCCATTCTTTTGTGCATAGATAGCTCTTAGTATGCCCTAAAAACTTGCAAAGACACCAGAATTTCAAAGGCTTGGGCAAGACCTTTCAATCAAACCACAATGCTATTCCTATTTCCAATACGTTGTGGTTTGATCAAAAGATACTGGGCAAGCCTTTCAAACTCTCGTGTCTTTGCAACTGTTTAGGGCATACTAAGAGCTGTCTATACACAAAAAATGGCGCCAAAGTCTATTCGAATAACAGAGAACAGAGGTACAAATAGTGAGAGTTGTCTTATAATTTTCAAATAGGTCCAATTTTGCTAGCATGTTTGCTCTCGTCCTTTTGTCAACGTGTGCGTTAAAAGCAAAAATGCATATAAGAAGTAGAAAGAAAGAAAGAATCACACTTACTACACTAATCGACGATCTTGCCCTATTCTTTCCAGGTTCTTGTTTTTCTTTACTTTCAGACAAGATTCCTGTATTCAGGCAAGATTCTTTTCGACAGGAAAGTAAAAAGAATCTTGTCTGAATTTCAAGATGACAAGAATCTCGTCTGATTAATCAGAAATAAAAGAATCAGGCAAGAATTATAAGATATTCAAGATATATTTAACGTTCAGACAAGATTCTTGTTAAAAGAAAAGATAAAGAATCTTGTCTGAAGTTCAAGATCAAAAGAATCTTGTCTAAAAATTATGAAAAAACAGAAACTGGAAAGAAATATAAGATATTTTAAATTTCTTAGTATTCAGACAAGATTCTTATGATAGAAAAGAAAAAGATTCTTGCCAGCTTTTCAAGATCAACAGCACGTGATGTCGTCTTTGTATGATCAAATATATAAAGGCAATGTCTGAACGTTATTTATTCATTATTTCAATTGGATGTATAGAAAAAGTTTCCATTCGATATCGAGAAAACAGTGGAATATATGATATCTTTTTTTCCATTGTTTTCAGAAAACTTACACTTATTAAACACATTTCAATATTTTACCAATCCACATCTTTCTATTTTACTTTTTTTAGATTTTCTTTCATTATCCACAAAAGTGTTTTTTTAATGGACGAAGGAAATATCGATTTTATCAAAAAATGATTGTTTGATAATGTTCTTGGTAGTATAGGTAATATCTATATGCACTTTATATCTTTTTGATTAAAATACTATCTTTTTTAGAGTCATCACCACATACAGATAAACAACATCGATGGCGTGCTAAGAAAAAGATCAACATCATCGTACTCAATTATCTCTACATCATTTACTAGTTGAACAAATTGTAAATAACTTATTTTAATCGAGCTAGCTCAACACACAACGATGATGAAGTTTCAAAAAAATAAGTATTTTTTTTGATAATTAAAATTTTGTTTTTTTTTGTATTAAAAACTGAAACTGCTTTAACAACATGTGAAATTAAAAGTATTTTTTTGTTTTTTTATACATTTGTTGTACATGGTGTGCAAAGCTTATAATAAAACGATATGAAAAAAGAGTGATAATAACCTACAAAAGGCTTTTTTAATGTGACCAGAATTAGGCACGAACCACAAGAAATAAGAAACAGACAAGAATTTAAGAAAAAAAGAATCAGGCAAGAACATCAAGAAAAATAAGAATCAGACAAGAATTCAAGAAAAGCAAGAATCAGGCAAGAAAGCAAGAATACAAGAATCTTGTCTGGAGAAGAACTTCTTGCCTCACCAGCCAAGATTCGGTCTACACGAATCTTGTCAGAAAGGCAAGATCAGTTTTTTCAGGCAAGAATCTTGTATAGAAAGAATAGAAAAAGAATCTTGTCTGAAAACCAAGAAAAACAAGAACCTGGAAAGAATAGGGCAAGATCGTCGATTGGTGTATGTTATCCTTTAATCATTTAAAACAAGGATGAATGAGAAAGAATAAGATCATACTGTTATTTAGTAGTGTGTTAGTAAAATATTATCCACTTTCGTCATCGATATCATTATTACGAAGATCAAGCATAGCAGGTCTTTATTTAAAAATAGGGATAAATAAAAGAGAAATTAAAAGGAAGTATTAATTAGAGTGTTCTTTTGTAATGCATAAGCTAAAAGACTAGCTCTTGACGTTCAAGCTTGGTTAAAGGTAAGATCTATTTAGATCGTATCAAAAGTAGTGGCAGAGATGCTTTAGTTCTCTATAAAATGTTTGGAGAAATTTTCTCTTTATACGAACAGATAGTAAAAAGAATGATCTATTTTTCAATAATATTTTATCCTTAGTCAACTAATATCGTAATGATAAGATTTTGGTAA